CTTGTATGTGCTTGTAGAATCACATAAGCATACTGTCTTCAACCTGGTTATCAACTTGTGCATCTTTTGACGAAGATTTCGACAGAAATTCAGTATTCATTCTAATGCACAGCTCTAGATGTGTCTTAAATGCAGATGCATGATTTGGTGTGTTCAGAAGTTTTATATCAGCCTGCAGATGGCTATAAATTGTCCTTTTACTCTTGTCCTTTGAAGGAAAACATTTGGTACAGTAGCAAGGCATTGTTGTGAGGTGGGGAGAGTGGACAAAACACAATTGCAACCCAACACTGTGGTGCATCAGATAAGAAAGTGCCCAAAGAGGAAACTGACTAATAGATATTTGTTGCGTGAACACAGACTGCTTGTTGCTTGCCACGTCAACAACAATTCTACATACAATGGACCCTCTGCAGCCTTACAGCAACCCACTGTCATCAAGTCTGTATTATAGTAAACTTTCCTCATTCAAATTCCACTCGCTTAGTACAACTAATAACATTATTTTTCTCCAAATTTCTCCTCTCGACGCTACATCTGCCCCACAGCCCACAACCTCAGCCCCATCAATTGCAGTCAACCCACTCTTGATTGAATCACTCAGCTTTGAGGACCTTCTGAAAAATTGTCACTTCAGCGACACAGTTTGAAAGTATCAAATTGTGGCTGATCAGTTCCTTGAGAGTCAAGCTTACCAGAACAAGCTCGTCGGGCAGATCGAGGGGCTATTTGCTAAAGAACACATCCACATCCACCAGCAACATGAGTCAAAGGAAAAAATCTGAAAGTATGAAGAAGAAGTACAAGAATTAACTAAGCAAAACATTAATTTACGACAAGAAAACCACCACCTACTGCAAGAAGTTTCATGCCTGCAAACCACCCTGGATCATCAAACAAGTTCTGCATAAGTGACCTATACAACCTGAATTCTCTACTGACAGTCTTTTTTATATATTCTAGTGCAGGAATATCTACCATCTATCCGAGCAACTCTGTGTTGCATGCTGCCAACCCACCCCCAGCACGTTCAGTAGTATCTACAACTGAAGCCCAGCCCCCCCAGCCCCGCCCCGATCAATACCCATTTGAGATTCTATGGGAATTTGATGACTGCAAAAAGGACAAGGACGCTGGACTAACAGCTCAGAACCCCGCTCGACCTGCAATTGAACGTGCTGTCCGGCATGCTGATGGCACCATGATCTCCAGCGAGGAATAGACCACCATCAAAGCTACCACCCGCGTTGCTCAAAACAAGCTTGAGCAGTTGCCCCTGCCAAAGTGTCGATCCCAGAAATGGTCGCGGAATTACTATCTATCTGCGTACCCGGCTCAGTGGGCAGCTATCATCCAAGAGATGGACCAGCAGCAGCCGCTGCTAGCTCTATGTTCAAACCATTGGAAGGCCGAACATGTCCTTGGCCAAATGTTGAGGTCTAGTAAGCTGGTTGATGAGGTGGCTATTAACAACAACGATGAAGACGCAACTCTCATTGCTATCTTGTCAGGAACAGGAACAGGAACGGGAACGGGAGCAAAAGCTCAAAAACGACGTCAAGCAAGGTCGAGTGTCTCGGAAATGGCAAGAAAACAACGGCCAGTGAGCAGCGCAGCTCCAGAGGCCATGTCAGAGGTACAGATGAGGATGGACAACTCATCCTCGGATGCATTGATGCCTCCACCCACTACCGGCCAGTCCTTTTTTTCTTCTTCTCTTACTACTACTGTACTGACATCAGATTTTCAGTACCTATTCAAAAATCACTTCCTCCCCCATCATTTCTGTCTGTCTCCTCAAATAAAGGGTCCAAAAAATACGATGTCGACTTTATAGAGGTCAGCTCCTCTATCCTTGACTTGAAAAGTACGTTCTTTTCATTATTTTTCACTTATTCATACACTAACAAAATCTAGCTATCATAACTCGCGACTTCGACTCCAACTCCTTCGGTATCAACCTTCTCGACGCTGTGGAACTCTCTACAGACTTCTCCCCCGGCCCCCCTTCCTCTCTTATGCTTGAATTTATTGAGTGCATTAAGCGTGCTGACCCCAATTCCCCCGAATTTGATGAGGATGACCATGGTGTTTCATGGGGCCATCATCAGTTTACATCAGGTTCAATGATGTCTTCCTCTGTACTAACATCTTGGACTGCAATAGGTAATTGCGAGACGGCAAGTGTAACAACCAAGATATACTCTGGCGCACACAGGAACACACTATAGAGAAAATGAAGAGGGAGTGGTTACCCCTTAAGATGCAGAGAGTTAGTTGGTATACAACAGGAGGACTTGCTGAGGAGTCTCCTGGATTTATTGGAGTTTATATACTACTACAGGGTTGTTTGTACATGTGTACTATACAGTTGATAGAGACAGTGGCTGATGATGTCATGGGGCCTAGCCCGCATGGCCAGCTCCACTGTGTGAGAGAGTTATGTCCAAAATAAGAAGAAAGGCAATGCGGCGCGAGAAAGGGGAAGTGCCACGTGGCACCATGTGTGAAAGCTATAGTACAAGGTTAAAGTGGAGAAATAAAAGTAAAGGGAAAGTCCAAAAATTGTGTTATCGTAACACTACCCCCCTTCTAAGGCTCAACTTCCAAGCAAGACCAAATACCGGAGGTAGTAGTTAAATTTCCGGGCATAGGTTGAAAAAGAGAATTAAAAAGATTTGAATCCATGCCTCTAAGCTTCCTAGGAGCTGAGGGATTCTTAGATTAAAATTCGTGAACAGTGTCGCGGGAATTGTCCGGATGGGCTTCTGGTTCCCACATTCTGTCCTCGTCTCCATAGCCCTTCCATAGGACTAGGAACTCTAATTTTCCACGCTTCAAGCGTGCATCCACTACTCGTTCGACTTCGAACTCTTCTTCACCTTCCTGGGTGATTACAACCGGTCCAGGCCGGTCTACACGCTGTCCTGGCAGCGGCCCTTTGTAGGGTTTCACACGGCTAATATTGATTGTGGGTACTACCCTCATCTGTTTTGGGAGTTCTAGCTCCACTGCGTTGGGTTTGACTTCCTTAATCCGATAAGGGCCAATCCACTTTTCGGTCAGTTTTCTAGACTGCCGATCTTTCAATTTTAAGTGGTTGGTATCTAACCAGACCAGGTCGCCGACCTTGTAATCAGGGGCCTTAGAACGTCTACGCTCTGCCCTGTCTTTCATCTGCTCTGCAGTTTTAAATAGCACTTTGCGCGTTTCATCTAAGACAGCCTTCATGTTTTTGGCCATGTTCCCAGCAGCCTCGTTCTTGCTTTTACCAGGTTCTACACCCATTCTGGGGAGGTACAATGTCATGCACCAAAGTTGATTGGTAGCATGGACAGGTGTCAATAATGAAGCAAATATTCAAAAAAACTCGCCTTTGTGCCACACAGGCACAGTGCCACGTGGAATAGTAATTAATATTGCCTGTTTCGAACTTGTGGCTGATCAGCACCACCTCTATTAGGCAATCCAGTCACGCTCACCTTTGCTTTTCCATTCGGTACTTTCTGTGTTTCGGCATTTCGGCAAATTTTCGTGTCGCCACTGGCTACACATTGCATTGCGCCCTCGCTTTTGTCGTTTCCCTTACTCCCCTTCCTTTGCCTAGCCCCACCATGGGCCCCTTCCTCTCCTTTTTATTCTCACCTGACGGTTGTTTCTGGATCCCCATTCTAATCCACTTGTTTGTCACCTCCACCCTCCTCCTCCTCATCTTATTTGCACCCCCACCATTTCTGATGTCACCACTTCCTATCCGCTTCCGTCGCCAATCCGTTGACTACCACGTGCCACTGCTGATGTCAGCAAAGCCCCGGCGGCCAGTCCAAATAGGGCAACAGGTCCATCTTCATGATGTCGATCTGCCATCATATACTATCAAAACATCGGTCGCTCGTCTTGCCTGGTTGGAGCGTGGGTGGGTAGTTTTTGAGCTGGAGAAGGTTCATCCCCTTGCGTCGCCCATGTTCATCGCTGTCCCATTCACTTGGGTACACTTATCATTTGTCCATCATCTTCGCTACAGCTACACCTACCACACGCTGCCTGGGACTCACTTGTTCCAAATTGGAACTACTCCTCTCCCTCCCTCGTTTGATCAGGTGGTCCAACACAACCAGTCCATTGGTAAGGCCATGGAACTGTCGGATTTGGACTAGGTGGTGGACCGGTGGCTCCAGTTTCTTTTTTTTCAGCAGAACATTCATTTACAGTGCGATTATTTTTGATTTTTGAATCATTTTTATGGACACATATTTTTTTAGAATGCCTGACTGACAATAAAGGAACTGTGTTGATACTGATAGTGTTTTGCCTTGCCCTTTTTTTACTGCATCTTCCCATGACATCATGATTTTCCTGCTCTCCTTTTGCTATTGGACTTTATTCACAGCATTTATTGTTCTATCCCTTTCTTTTCCTTTTTTTGACAATCTTATCCTGTACTACCTACGCAGGATTTGTCAGCGTACATTCCTTCCTTCATGTTCTTTCTCATTATTTTTGCACAGCTATACTGTGCATAGCCTACTTTTCTTTCACTATATAAACCCCTGTATTTTACCTTGTAAAATAACAAGAACTCCAATCCAGACTTCTTCTCCAATCTCAAGTTCACTACTCTGTTACTTGTGATCCAGTGTGGTCACAACACTTCCCACTGCTACCACTGTTAATTGCTGTCATCGTCACTTCCCACTTTTGAAGTCATTGTTATTCCTTTTGATTAGAGTCCTTCTGAGCACTACAGTTTGTGCGTCAGGAGCCTGCTATCACTGGGAACCTCGTCACCTCATCATCCTCGTCATTCTCAAACCTACCTTGTGCTACAATTAGCAAGGTAGTGCTTGTCCATACTTATCACTAAGCCCCTATCTTCTATAATTCAACTATCCCTCCTCCTCAAAACCCACACCCATACATCTCTGGGTTTTACTTTGAAGGATCATTATACATACCACCACATGAACAACCAGAGCACCCACTGTTCTAGGAGGCAAAGCCCATAAACAAGTTCCGTGGAATCTGGGAGGATTGTGTGTTAGTTTGTTTTTGTGTGTGGTTTTCTAACACCAGTTCTCATCATCGACAACGATCTAGTGACCTCGAACGGTGCCTTTCCTGTAGCCGACGACTGTTTGATATTGTAAGAGAACTGGGCTATCTTTAGCCACTTGGCCCAATCTGTCTGTCTATCATTAATAAATATACGGAGATATTGCTTCAACTCCTGGTTAAGTCTCTCTGTTTGTCCATCAGTGTGCGGATGGAACACCGTTGATAATTTAGGTTTAATGCCCAGCATCTTGCATAATTCTTTCGTAAATTCGCTAGCGAATTGAGGTCCTCTATTGGAGATAACCGTTTCTGGTAACCCATGGATAGACCATACAAAATCTTTAAATAAATCAGCCGTTCCAGTGGCGGTAATGGTTTTATTGGTTGGTATGAATACCACTTCTTTGGAGAAGCGATCCACTACCACCATTACTGAATCATACCCATTTGACTCGGGTAGATCCGTCGTGAAATCAACCGATATATCCTGCCAGGGACCAGCTGGTATCAGATTCGGCATAAGTTTACCAGCCGGCGGTTGATGAGAATTCTTAGCCATGGCACATCTCAGACAGGATTTTACGTATTCCTGTACGTCTTTGACCATGCCAGGCCACATGTAGTTTCTGGAGATCAACTCCATTGTTCGTTGCCATCCAGGGTGCCCAGCCACTGGAGTGTCATGATGTCTATCTATTGCCTTGATCCTTGCGGACTCAGGCACATAGATTTTGTCTTTAAAGTGGAAGAGCCCGTCTTCCCATAAATAGTTTTCATTGCCGTCAAGGCGCACCTTTTCTTCTGAGGAGATGTCTTTCTTGAAGACTTCCAGAAGATCGGAATCCTGCCCGATTCTAACATTGGCAACCCTTGATTGGTCTATCAGGGTGACACCTTTGTTGTCATCTTCGATGCCGTTGGCATGATCCTCTCTTCTGGACAAAGTGTCTGCTTTCCCCATAGAGCTCCCAGGCTTATGAATTAATTTATAATTAAACCTTGACAAGTATACCGCGTAGCGGGCCTGTCTTCGGTTCAAGTCTTGGGCCGTCATAAAATACTCCAGATTCTTATGATTGGTCCAAATTTCGAATTGGTGTCTAGCACCTTCTAAGTAGTGCCGCCAGTGCTCTAAGGCTCTAATGATAGCCAGCATCTCCTTGTCGTAAATTTGATAGTTGCGCTCTGTGGGCGACAAACTATGTGATAAATAGGCACAAGGCCTCCAAAGATCGTCAGGGTATTTAATTGATAGAACAGCCCCAGTAGCAAAATCAGAAGAGTAGGTTTCTAGCCAGAACTCTTTGTCCAATTCTGGAAATGCTAATATGGGCGCCGTTGTAAACGCCTGTTTAAGCTTATCGAAAGCTTCTTGTTCCTTGGCGCCCCAGTGCCAAACAATGTCCTTTTTAATGAGATTGTTCAACGGTCTCGTGATTTTGCGAAGTTTTCGATAAATCTTCGGTAGAAATTGCCTAAACCAAGGAATGCCCTAACTCCTTTGACGTGAGTAGGTTCTGGCCATTCCAATATAGCTTGAACTTTCTCAGGATCCATCCTGATTCCGTTCTGGCCTATGATCATACCGAGGAAGTCTACTTCCTTCACTTTAAAATTACATTTTTCGGGTTTGACGAATAGGTCCCATTCTGGAAGGTCGCCGGTGAATTGGTCAACCCAAAGAACATAATGAGGGGTTCAAAGGATCCTCGGTGGCATGTGAACGCGGCCTTCCAAGCATCTGTTTCTTTGATTCGTACATTGTTGTACCCCCATCTGAGATCCATCTTTGTCAAGACCTTGGCACCAGCCAATTTGTCTACTAGCTGACTGATCAAAGGCAGTGGATATGCGTTTTTAACCGTGTGCTCATTCACGTAATGATAGTCCATAATCATACGCTTCTTACCGTCCTTTTTAGGAATGAAGAACACCGGGGACGTCATAGGGCTTTTGTCTATGAAACTTGATACCTCATCTCTTTCTGGAGCAGAGAGTGGTATCATGTGTCCTTTTCTTGGCTTGAAGGTGTCCTTCAAATCTATAGCATGGTCCCAAGGCTTAGCCTCTGGGAAGCGCTCTGATTTATGTTTTGAAAAGACATGATTTGGTTTACCCAAGTTTACACACTCCTGAGGGCAACGTGACAATGTGACAACCCCTGTCTGCCAGTCGATCTCAGGATTTTGTTTAAATAGCCAGGTCCAGCCCAAGATTAAATTAATCTTCCCTAGTTGGGTAGCTTCGGCGGTGACTCATTCTCTGTGTCCTTTGTGTGTGATGCAGCCACCCACGTTAAGCGTACCGTCAACGTTATAGACGGGAATAGACACATCTAATTGTACAAGGGGGAGTCCAATCTGCTCCGCCCAGACCTGATCTATGAAGATTCCGTTAGCGCCTGAATCAAGCAGTGCACTAGTTGGGTGTACTATGCCTCGGGCAAGGTTTTCCACACCAATGTATAAACGAATCTCCTTTTGGAATAAATATGTGCGCATCAACACACGCCTTGGGATTTCGGGAAAGGGTGGCTCCAAGGAAGAAGAAAGGGTATCGAAGTTTACATGTTTTTCTATTTTATTTTTACCAGAATCAAGCACCCTAGTGTTTGTCTTGCCAGGGCCACGCTCTAAAGGAGACGCTGGTGCAGCGGTAGTATCATTTATATTACAGTCACATTGCTTCATACAAGTACATACGTCAGATAATAAATTTAAAAATCTATTTACAAATTGGGGAGCCATCCCCGTCTTTCCTTTATTGCTCGTGCAACACCCCGGAGCAGTGGCCACTTTGTTGTGGTTTACTTCATTGTTTCGTGGAGCGAAGGCACCCAAGTGACCTAAGCCCCGAACTCTTTTCCCTGAGCCTTCATTTCATTGACCTGTTGGTCATAGAAAAAGGCCCAGATTTCATCGTATGAACGACCGGCCAAAGAGTTGAGCCGATCGTCCGGCTTTTCGGATTCTAATTGGCGCGCCTGGCGCCCTTGGTTATTTTTTTGTTGAGCGGCCTGTGCTCCATTTCTGCAGTCATGTGCCATGTGCCCCTCCTGCCCACAGTTGAAGCAGGTGAATCTGCGCTTCTGTCCGCCATAGACCGCGCCGATATCCATTGGAGCACCCCGACCTGGTTGCAGCCCAAACGGCTGGAACCCGTGAGAGTGTTTATTTTGGTTTGATGACCCAGGGCGCCTCTGGGATTCGTTATTTTTAGTGGTGGACCCGCCACCTTGGTGCATCTGGTAAAGCTCCATGGCTCTACCAACTCGACGTACTTCCTCGGCCGCTAGAGACAAGTTCTTGTTTCTAGTGTCTTGCAGATAGATCTGTTCTGCAATGCGAGGGTTCACATTGCGTTCCAGCAGTTCTACTGCGTGTTCATTTCCAAGCCCTCCTTGGATGGAGGAGGCCAGGAACCGGGTAACATAGTCATCCATCCTCATGTTTCCTTGTTTGAAGGAACGGATTTGCTGACGCGCTGTCGATGATGAGAATTGTTGTTAGAAAACCACACACAAAAACAAACTAACACACAATCCTCCCAGATTCCACGGAACTTGTTTATGGGCTTTGCCTCCTAGAACAGTGGGTGCTCTGGTTGTTCGTGGGGTGGTATATATGAGGATCCTTCAAAGTAAAACCCAGAGGTGTATGAGTGTGGGTTTTGAGGAGGAGGGATAGTTGAATTTATAGGAAGATAGGTGCTTTGTGGCGAGTATAGACGAGCACTACCTTGCTAATGATAGCACAAGGTAGGTTTGAGAACGACGAGGATGACGAGGTGATGAGGTTCCCAGTGATAGCAGGCTCCTGACGCACAAACTGTAGTGCTCAGAAGGACTCTAATCAAAAGGAATAACAATGACTTCAAAAGTGGGAAGTGACGATGACAGCAATTAACAGTGGTAGCAGTGGGAAGTGTTGTGACCACACTGGATCACAAGTAGCAGAGAATAGTGAACTTGAGATTAGAGAAGAAGTCTGGATTGGAATTCTTGTTCTTTTTTTACAAGGTAAAATACAGGGGTTTATATAGTAAAAGAGAAGTAGGCTATGCACAGTATAGCTGTGCAAAAAGAATGAGAAAGAATATGAAGGAAGGAATGTACGCTGACAAATCCTGTGTAGGTAGTACAGGATAAGATTGTCAAAAAAAGAAAAGAAAGGGATAGAACAATAAATGCTGTGAGTAATATCACAGGTTTGTACAGCCATAAAGTAAAGTCCAATAGCAAAAGGAGAGCAGGAAAATCATGATGTCATGGGAAGATGCAGTAAAAAAAGGGCAAGGCAAAACACTATCAGTATCAACACAGTTCCTTTATTGTCAGTCAAGCATTCTAAAAAAATATGTGTCCATAAAAATTGTCACGACTTGAACCAGAAGCGCTAATCTGAGCGCTAATTTCCTTTTTCATTTCTTTGATATCTGATCACATGACAGATAAGATATGTTAAGCTGCTGCTTTAGCGCGGATAACATAATACGTAGTTATATCAGATCACGTGACCACCACGTGACACGAGTCTAGAATTATTACAAAGAACATCAGTCAGCGCCTCATGGCTACTGCATGTTAGCTCAGTCAGCGCCTCATGGCTGACTTTCAGAAACATATATATAGTAGACCATCATGTACATACTTTCCTCAGTTGTTGATTAATTCTCAATCGTTACTTGAAACGCTACTTGTCTGATTAAAAGCTTTTATCCCTCCGTTAACTCGGTATAGGGGATAGAGGTTTTACACAATCAACAACTGCTACGAGTACCGTTTATGAACCTAACAGCAACAATCCTAACAACCATCATCATCACCATCATCATCATCCTACTAATCCTAACCCTACTCAAACACTCAACCCAAACCACCACTACTCTTCCACTCCATCACATCCCTACTCGCCCCGACACCATCTTATCTTTCTTTCCCGCCAACGTATCACCTTCCTCATCCCAAGACTCCTTCGTAACCATCCCCCTCTAAATACATTTATATCATCATAATCTCTTTGGTGTGGAACCACTGAGATTTTCTCGGTTTTACCTAGTTTCATTTTTCGATTTCCTCTGACCAGGCCGCGCATTTGCGTCCGCCAGTCGGGAGAAGGACTGAAAGCCTAATAAGCTGGTCACATTGGGACAACCGTTCGGACCCCAATTTATCACTATACCTTTTACATAAAATTCGTAAAATACAAAAATAGTTACCATACCTACATAGTCAGTAGTGGGCTGAAGAGGACCACTTTGACTCAAAGAGAAATAGATAGACTACTAGGATCTTAGAAAGCGGTGTATCGATCCAGCTTATCACTGGTGAACTCCTTTCTATGCTTAGTAGAGACTTTTACATTTGGATCGGAGAGCAACACATTTACTCTCAAGATTACGTATTCAAAGGGAAATTCCCTTTACCAGAAATAGAACCCATCAGAATCCCATCCCCTTTAATCAAATCCGAAACTCCCCCTCCTCCCCAACTCACGTTCAATGTCCAACCTAGAATATCGCGATCTGCCCGAGCCATCCAACAGTACGGACAGCGCATTTACCAGGGAAATGATGGACGCATTACCCAGAATAGAAACTCCCCCCCCGAAAGAAGCGCGATTGGAAGCATACGTAAAACAAGAAATAGAAAAGGCAATAAGACAGACACAAATGCACTACCAATCGCAGCTAGACGAGGCACTCGAAGAAGTGAGCGTCTTGCAAAGAAAACTAAAGAAACAGATACAGCCACCTCCAGAAAAGGTGGAAAGAAGTAGAACGGCACTGGAGAAACCCGAGAACTTCTCCGGAGATAAGAAAAAGTATAGGGCCTTTAGAGAGTCCTTATTACTGCATTTCGAAGATGATGCCGTATATTTCAAAGATGATCGAAAGAAGATAAGCTTTGTGCTATCTTTTATGAAAGAAGGAGAAGCCGTGGCCTTCCGGACCGATTGGCTAGAGAACCGAGTCGACGCCCAACAGCTGGGGCTCGATATTACAAACACGTACGGAAGTTGGCCGTATTTTGCGGACAAAATGGAAGAAAGGTTCAAGGACAGTTTTGAAAAAGAAACTGCCAAGAACGAAATACTGACCCTGAGACAGGGCAACGAAACTGCCCAAGCCTTCTTTGAAAGGTTTGAAGAGAAGAAAAGATGGGCGGGATACACAAATAGAATAAATGAAGAGTTCCTAGTATCTCTACTCAGAAGGAATATGAACAAACCGCTAGTGGATAGGGTGATCTACGGCGGGCACATTCCAAGAGATTACCAAGAGTGGAAAAGGGAACTCATCAGAATAGACTATATTTGGAGAGAGAGAGAGAAAGAGAAGAAAGGTTCCGATACTGGGAAGAAACCCTATTCGGAACAAAAGAAAGAAGGAGAGAAGAAGAAAGACGGGACCGGATATACCTATACCGGTAGTGGAGAAAGAATGGAGGTGGACAAGGCAAAGTTCCGCACGGAAGGACGATGCTACCGATGCGGAGAAAAGGGACATAGAAGCTTCGAGTGCAAAGACGCACAAAAAAGGAAGCCACAATTTAATGTCCGAGAGTTTCTGGAAAAGATGACGAAAGAGGAAAGGGAAAAACTCCTTGAGGGTTTTTAAAGAGGCCAGCGGTACCGCATCGACCGACTGAGCCTAAAGACGTTTCGAATCGGTTTCTTCCTTTGACTGTAGATACATGTGACTCAGAATTGTTAAGCTGCTGCTTTAGCGCGGATAACAATAAAATTATTTCCACTCAGACAAAGAAAGAAATCCGAAACGAAAAAGATGCAACTAGAGTAAAAGCAGCGCAGAGTGATAAGACATCCGCAGTTCCGACGGCGGGCGAATCACTAAAAAGCGCAGCATTTACGATAGAACCTAAGATTCCTACACCCGATGCGGCGAACTCTACGGAGGAAAACGCAGCAGAGACTGTAGAAGAAAGGTCAGGAACCCCTTTGAAAAAACCTAGAACAGAAGTTTGGACCCCAGAGTGGGTAGTGGACAGGCTAAGAGACCAAAAGGAAGAAAGATCCATTGGGATTCTAAGTGCCTGGACACATAAAAAAAGAACGAGAGAAGTAACCCGGGAAACGATCAAAGAAATCAACCGGTTACCAAAAGTAGAAGCTATACAAGCGATCATAGAAATTGCCTCCCCAAAAAAGTACATTAGGGGCACCCAAGGCAATCAAATGAACGTAAAATGTAAGCTTACTACATTAGATACTCTCCAAACAGAAACAGTCGAAGCACTATTGGACAGTGGATGCACGGGGAGTTGCATCGACTCCCAATTTGTGAAAGACAAAAGATATGAGACAAGGAAGATACCGAGACCTATTCCAGTCTATAACGCAGATGGAACTCTTAATAAAAACGGAGCCATCAATGAATTTGTAATACTACTCATGGAAATCGACGGACACGTCGAAAAGATACATCTTGCCGTAACCAATCTGGGTAACGGAAAAATGTTTCTAGGACATGAATGGTTGAACAAACATAATCCTAAAATAGACTGGAGAGAATCGAAGTTGACCTTTGAAAGGTGTCCTGAAGAATGTAGACCAAGGATCCGAATCTCTGATCCAGAGGAAGATCCTGAAATATTCTTTGAGGAACTACGAGAAGATGAGAGGATGATACAGGTGAATCTCCATAATTTCGAAGATGCCACGATCGACGATCAATATTACTACATCAGAGCCCAAGGCACAATGGCACAGAAGTTAGCAGAAGCTGCAGGCAAAGATCGAAAAGAAGGAGGATTCGAAAAGATAGTGCCAAAACATCTTCATCAATACAAAGACGTATTTGATAAGAAGGAGTTCGACACATTACCTGAAAGAAGACAATGGGATCATGCAATCGAACTAATACCGGGAGATCACTCCCTAGATTGCAAGATCTATCCATTGGCAAGAGGAGAGCAAGAAGAACTAGATGCGTTCCTAAAAGAGAATCTGGAATCGGGACGGATCAGACCATCAAAGTCCCCATTTGCATCGCCATTCTTCTTCATTAAAAAGAAAGACGGGAAGTTGAGACCAGTTCAAGATTATAGGAAGCTAAACGATATCACCATCAAAAATAGATATCCACTTCCGTTGATCGGGGAACTAGTAGACAAATTGAGTGGAGCCAAATACTTCACAAAATTGGATGTAAGGTGGGGATATAATAACATCCGAATGAGAGAAGGAGATGAGCATAAGGCGGCGTTTAGGACAAATCGGGGATTATTCGAACCACTAGTCATGTTCTTCGGACTGACAAATTCCCCCGCCACGTTCCAAATGATGATGAACACGCTTTTTAGAGAGTTGATAGATGAAGGATTAGTAATCATATATCTAGATGATATCATGATATTCACAAAGGATATAGAAACACACCGAGCAACGACGCAACGTGTGTTAGAAATCCTGAGAAAAAATCATCTCTATCTTAAACCAGAAAAATGCGATTTCGAACAGACAGAAGTGGAATACCTGGGACTGATCATCTCAGAAAACGAAATTCGCATGGATCCGGTGAAGGTAGAAGGAATCAGCAAATGGCCAGAATGCAAAAATAAGAAAGACATACAAGCATTCTTGGGATTTGTAAATTTCTATCGAAGGTTCATAGAGGGCTTCGGGGAAGTAGCCAAACCATTGACCAAGTTAACGGGAAAAGAGGACTTCATTTGGGGAAATGAACAACAAGAAGCATTTAACACATTAAAACAACGTGTAGCTTCAGCCCCGGTGTTAGCTCTCCCAGTACCACATGGCCAATACAAAGTAGAAGCGGATAGTAGTGACTTCGCTATGGGTGCTGTATTATCACAAAGACAAAAAGATGACTGGAAGCCAATTGCATACCTCTCCAAAGCGTTAAACCCCACAGAACGCAATTACGAGATCTATGACAAAGAACTTCTTGCCATCATGACGGCACTTAACGAATGGAGGCATTACTTGATAGACGCAGAAGAGGAATTTGAAATATGGACAGATCATCAAAATCTACTGTATTTCAAAGAACCCAAGAAGTTGAACAGGAGAAAGGCGCGGTGGATGACAGAGTTGAGCCAGTATCATTTCACAATACATCATATGCCAGGAAGGAAGCATATAAAAGCAGATCTTCTCTCAAGGCGGTCAGATCATAACAAAGGAGAAAACGACAACGAAGACGTCATACTACTGGATGAGAAACTATTTGTAAGAATGACTCTCTCTCCAGAACAAAGACAAAAGATCGCAGATAGTCAGGAGGAAGAATTAGAGATTTCAAAATGGATTACAAAGAGAAAAGGAAATGTAGATGAATTGATAAAAAAGATGAAAGGAAAGATAGAGAGGAGAGAGGATGGATGGCTAGACGAGGACGGTCGCATAGTATTCAAAGGCAGGATCTATATACCGAAGGATGCCACGTTAAGGGAAGAGATTATCCGACGAAACCACGACTCTGTTATTGCAGGTCATCCAGGAAGATATAAGACAAAGGAGCTAATTACTCGACAGTACTGGTGGCCCTATATGGACAGAGATATCACGAGATACGTAGATGGATGCGAAGTCTGCCAAAGAACCAAAACAGACCATAAAAAGAAAGCGGCACCGCTTCATCCAAATGAGATCCCGGATAAACCTTGGCAGATCATATCAGTAGATCTAATCGGACCGCTACCAGAATCAAATGGATATAACATGATAATGGTAGTAGTAGACCGATTTACAAAAATGATCAAGGTAATTCCCACGCAGATGGAGATCACATCGGAAGGAGTGGCACGACTATTTAGAGATCATGTATTCCGGAACCATGGCATACCCGAAAAGATCATCTCGGATCGGGGACCGCAATTCGTTTCAAAATTCATGAAAGATCTACATACGCTTCTTCAGATAAAAGCGAACCCATCGACGGCTTGGCATCCACAAACGGATGGACAGACGGAGAGGATCAATCAAGAGATAGAACAATATCTCAGAATCTTCGTAAACCACAAACAAGATGATTGGGCAGAATGGCTTACCCTAGCAGAATTCTCTTACAATAACAAACAACATTCTGCGACGGGATATAGCCCGTTCTACCTGAATCATGGACATCATCCGAGAACACAGGAAGTAGTGAAAGTGGGGGTAAAAAACGAAAACGCAGAAGATTTCGTAAAGAGAATGACAGAAACAAGGAAGAGAGCAGAAGAATCGCTGCAAAAGGCAGCTGAACAGATGAAGAAGCAGTACGATAAGAAGAAAAGAGAAGCAGTAGAGTATAGAGTAGGAGATAAGGTGTACGTAGAAGCGACAAATATCTCAACAGATCGACCAGCTAAGAAACTGGACGACAAGAGACACGGTCCGTTTGAAATACTGGAAAAGATAGGCGAATCGGCATATAAATTAGCGCTACCACCGACATGGAGGCCTATTCATCCAGTTTTCAACGAGATAAAGCTTACACCGTACAAAGAACCACAGTTCCCTTCCCAACAGAAACCTAAACCAATACCGCCGGTAATAGTGGACGGACAAGAAGAATACGAAGTCGAAGAAGTTTTAGACTCACGTCTAAAAAGAGGGAAATTGGAATACTTAGTACATTGGAAGAACTATCCAAAAGAGGAACGCACGTGGGAACCCGAACAACATCTAAACAACTCACCCGATAAAGTAAAAAAATTCCACGATAACAACCCTAGTGCACCTCGACGGATCCAATTTCAATTACATTTCCAACCCTTCGAAAACTTCACAACGACTAGAGTCCGAAAACAATTGTTTAATTGGGAAAATGGAAAGATGGACCCCTACTTTCGGGACGAAAGTCCTAAAGAGGGGGTAATGTCACGACTTGAACCAGAAGCGCTAATCTGAGCGCTAATTTCCTTTTTCATTTCTTTGATATCTGATCACATGACAGATAAGATATGTTAAGCTGCTGCTTTAGCGCGGATAACATAATACGTAGTTATATCAGATCACGTGACCACCACGTGACACGAGTCTAGAATTATTACAAAGAACATCAGTCAGCGCCTCATGGCTGACTTTCAGAAACATATATATAGTAGACCATCATGTACATACTTTCCTCAGTTGTTGATTAATTCTCAATCGTTACTTGAAACGCTACTTGTCTGATTAAAAGCTTTTATCCCTCCGTTAACTCGGTATAGGGGATAGAGGTTTTACAAAAATGATTCAAAAATCAAAAATAATCGCACTGTAAATGAATGTTCTGCTGAAAAAAAAGAAACTGGAGCCACCGGTCCACCACCTAGTCCAAATCCGACAGTTCCATGGCCTTACCAATGGACTGGTTGTGTTGGACCACCTGATCAAACGAGGGAGGGAGAGGAGTAGTTCCAATTTGGAACAAGTGAGTCCCAGGCAGCGTGTGGTAGGTGTAGCTGTAGCGAAGATGATGGACAAATGATAAGTGTACCCAAGTGAATGGGACAGCGATGAACATGGGCGACGCAAGGGGATGAACCTTCTCCAGCTCAAAAACTACCCACCCACGCTCCAACCAGGCAAGACGAGCGACCGATGTTTTGATAGTATATGATGGCAGATCGACGTCATGAAGATGGACCTGTTGCCCTATTTGGACTGGCCGCCGGGGCTTTGCTGACATCAGCAGTGGCACGTGGTAGTCAACGGATTGGCGACGGAAGCGGATAGGAAGTGGTGACATCAGAAATGGTGGGGGTGCAAATAAGATGAGGAGGAGGAGGGTGGAGGTGACAAACAAGTGGATTAGAATGGGGACCCAGAAACGACCGTCAGGTGAGAATAAAAAGGAGAGGAAGGGGCCCATGGTGGGGCTAGGCAAAGGAAGGGGAGTAAGGGAAACGACAAAAGCGAGGGCGCAATGCAATGTGTAGCCAGTGGCGACGCGAAAATTTGCCGAAATGCCGAAACGCGGAAAGTACCGGATGGAAAAGCAAAGGTGAGCGTGACTGGATTGCCTAATAGAGGTGGTGCTGATCAGCCACAAGTTCAAAAAGGGCAATATTAATTACTATTCCACGTGGCACTGTGCCTGTGTGGTGCAAAGGCGAGTCTTTTTGAATATTCGCTTCGTTATTGACACCTGTCCATGCTACCAATCAACTTTGGTGCATGACAGCGCCCAGTCACGCTCAGCCTGTGGTTTGAAGTATTTTTCGATCTCCTTCTTGAGATCATCCCAGGTTGGCCACACTCCCGCGGTGTAGCATTCCTGCAATCTTACTTGGGCGCATCAACCCGCCACAGGTCCTTTTAGGCGAGATAGCACTGCAGTGGCTACCTCAAAATTGTCGGCAAATGCGTCCCAGTTTGCCTTGACCCAAATCTGGAGCTTGATCCACCATTCGGCAAATCATGCTCTGTCTCCTTCGAAGGCACCAGGGTCAGCGACGACTTCGACCTTTTTGTTGAACTTTTTCTCGACCAAGGGGGTTGCCGCAGGAGGGTTGTTCTGCAGCTCGGCGAGTTGTGAGGTTAACGTAGCAATCTGTGCACACATGGCATGCAGCAGACTGTTCATATCTTGTTGCAACGACATGTCGACTTGTTCTCTTTGTAAAGTAATAAAATGTAACTGGGGGTCCCCGCTTGCTATCTGCGGATCAATCTCCAACTACCCACACTATAGTATTTGAAAAGGTATATAAAAAGTATTTGTACAAAACCCTGGTCCGAACGGTTGTCAGGGGGTGGTCCACTTGTTAAGCTGTCAACCCTTCTCCAACTGGCGGAGGCAAGTGCCCGGCCCGGTCAGAGGTATTTGAAGAAAAAGTTTGTATTTTAATTCTAATCAACAGTGGTTCCACACCGACTGCTGAGCTAAGTACTCCCCTTAACACTGGGGGCCGCATATCAAAGGTTTTGGGTTCTTCTCCCAAAGCACTACAAGGCCATTGCGAAGAGCGCACCTATCTGCTATGTGGGATATTCCTAACCACTAACCAATCTCCTTCACCCTGGAGTCCGGGTGCCCAATGGGACTTTTTGCACAAACGTGCAAGAGAGTAGAAGAGAGCGAGTCCTAATGTAACAACCAAGATATACTCTGGCGCACATAGGAACACACTATAGAGAAAATGAAGAGAGAGTGGTTACCCCTTAAGATGCAGAGAGTTAGTTGGTATACAACAGGAGGACTTGCTGAGGAGTCTCCTGGATTTATTGGAGTTTATATACTACTACAGGGTTGTTTGTACATGTGTACTATACAGTTGATAGAGACAGTGGCTGATGATGTCATGGGGCCTAGCCCGCATGGCCAGCTCCACTGTGTGAGAGAGTTATGTCCAAAATAAGAAGAAAGGCAATGCGGCGCGAGAAAGGGGAAGTGCCGCGTGGCACCATTTGTGAAAGCTATAGTACAAGGTTAAAAGTGGAGAAATAAAAGTAAAGGGAAAGTCCAAAAATTGTGTTATCGTAACAGCAAGACGTCTAATCGCTGCGACGATCAAGACCTGTAAAGTTGCGAGGCACATATGTTTCCAGGAAAAGATTTTGTCCTTGACCTTCCTTGCTGACAACTATCTCAACAATATACTCAAACAAATCTGGGCTGCCTGGAAGGCAGCTGGAGGAGTAAGTTCTTTCCCTCATTTCATAATATTCAAACTGATGCTAACTTTACAGCCGGTATCTAAGGGAAAGGCTTTTTCAACGGTCTCTATGACATCAGCCTCTGCGTCTTTCATTTTGGCAGCTACAGAACCCCCCTCTTCTGTCTCGTCAGCATCGGCTCCCACTTTCCTTGCCTCAGTGGCCACCTCTGTCTCGTCGATGGAACAATCCACAGCGGTCTCGTCAATAGAACAATCCACAGTGAGTGAGTCAGATTTGGCCAGCAAAGATGATCGTTGTGCAGGGTTACAAGTAAGTCATCACCAAGGTCCATCAATATATCTATTAACTCACGTTCGGTTTACAGGTTTTGCAGAAAGAGGAGCTGATGGAATGGATCAAGGCTAGTGGGAATGTCATCACTAACCTGAAACAGCGGACGAAAAAAGGTGATTGTTGATTTTACCACTTTGATATCATCTAACATGGTTTCACAGATCTGGTTGCCATTATCCTGGCCTTACCCATCAAGAAACAGCCCTCCGAGGTGGAAGTCGAGTCTATTATGTCCAAGGCAAGTCACCCGCTATATCTTTTACTAAACTACTAATTTACATTACTATTACAGCGGAAGGCGAAGAATGTAACATCCAAATCCAAGAAGTAATCAGTTGTTCTCTTGTCGTCGTCATCATGTTCTTTAGGAAATTTTTTTGTTGTCATCATTGTGTATATGCTTTTCTTTTGGACTGATCAGGAGCTCTCATCGTCATTATGTTGTGATTTTTGTATGCTTTTGTATATTCTTGTATGTTCTGTGCTACTGGGACTCAGCAATGTAACTACGTTGGACTTAATATTGGACTTCGATTGACTGTTACTGGACTTCGAATGACTGTTATCATGTCAATCGGACTACATTGGATTGCAGATGAACTGGACCTTGCTGGACTCTCACTGGACTATGTTCCCCGAGAAATAAGACTTCATTGGACTCGTTACAGGACTATTTGTATGGATTCTAGTCATAGTTCTTGCATATCGGACTGTTGCTGGACTACTATTATTGACTACACGTGACTACACTTTTTACTGAGTGTTACCATTAGTGACCAACTCGGTTTTCGCCGCTCTATTACGTTACGTAACCCACTCAACTCTCCCCGCTGCCACCATGAGCACGAATGTCCCGTTATTACAGAATATAGAGCCAGATGATGATTCTCCAAGGGAACTTTCTGGAAGTATTAACGCGTCTTCAAAGCAGCAACCGGATGTTATCTTGAAACCAACGAATCACGCCTCAGAGCAAATGGCCATGTCGTCTGGAGATGCAGAAGCAGGTGTGCACTGGCCCATTTTACATGTATTGGTCTCTCTCATTCTTCGCAATCTACGCCTGTGAATTATCACTTGCTTAGGTCTGGCTGGAATATTCCGACAAGTATGAAACGAAAAGTCTTTGCCACTAAAAAGCCATAGCTCATATTGGCAGTCTGCGCATCCTTCAGCTTTATTCTGCCTATACCTATTTCGGATATCAGCAATTACCGTCTATATCCTTTGTGGGCTATTCACCGATAATTATGTCGTTTCGGTAAGCTCTCTTCTTGGCTGATTTTGTACTCTACTTGGTCTGACTCGTTTACTCTTAGACCGTCGTAGTGGTTGTCTTGCTAGCCGTAGACTTCTGGAATTGTAGAGTGAGTGTCTTGATTTGTTTACTACACGATGTGTTCTATATGTGGTCACAGAATGTTGCGGGTAGGACGTTGGTGGGCTTGCGGTTTTGGAACCAGGTGAGTGACGCTTCGAGTACATGGAAATGCAGAATTGCCGAATTACGCCCATCAAGGTCGACGATGATGGTGAAAGCTACTGGGTTTTCGAAAGTCGCGACGTAAGATATGCTTTCACAAGATCATGTGTATAATGATGCGAGTCGTAATTATTCCTTCGCAGCCTTCGCGGCCAGCAAATCCCATCGATTCCAAGTAAGTCCTTACATTCATGCCCACTCCATTGTCTCCTAACATGGTTTCCAGAATGTTTTGGGTAAAGCAGTCCAATGCAGTCAATACGGAAGTATTTAACACTCTGTTTACAGATCGCTTTGTATGCCTTCCCGTTACTTTGGCTTCTGCTCCTTATTGTCTCCATTGTGAGGTTCAACGTGTCGTGAGTACTGTGTTTCGTTTCTTTATTGCGTGCCCCTCAACCTTTCCTCTAGTTTCATCCCTATCGTAATTCTTGCCCTGGTATTCAACGTGACGAATGCTATCGGATTCACTTATGCGTCAGTCCCATTTTCATCGTGATTTTTGTAGCAGGATTATATTGTGCGCATTTATAGTGACCGGGACGCAAAACAGCGGTGGGCGAATAGCGTCGCATCGTCAGGGTGGAACATGGGTATGGGTGGGTTTGGAGGCCAGATTCTCACTGGTGTCATGAAGAATACCATGGGCAGGGTGTTCGGCTGAAATGGTATCATGGATTTCGTTGTAGTGCTCACTTGTACTAGGGTCGTGCTGGTATGATGTTCCTTCGATATATTTGACTACGAACTGCCGTCCGAGGACTGTCCCAAGTTCAAGACTCATACAAAAAAAAGCAATTGACTGTCAAATAGGAGCTTCTTATGGGAGAATTGAAGTACATCTTTAGGCCCCTGTATCATAAACGAGGTACGGGAAGCTCAAGTAAAGAGGGTCAATTGATGTCTTAGCCGGGATCTACTGGCGAATATTCAGTCTTGTAGGAAAGACACCAATCACTCCCACGCTGATGTTGTTTATACACTGTGGGTAGTACAGTCACTGTAATACAGTGATCAAAATCACTGTATTTTAGTAGGCAGATGCACTGTAAATGAGTGGATTGCCAATGAAAATCTCAGTGATATGAATCAATGAAACCAACTATCCCTTGTCTGAGCATTAGTGCATTATATTTTGACTTCCAGTGCACTATACACTGACTATTATTGAAGAATCTCACTGATTATTAGCGTCACAATCACTTGCCAAATGCACTTTTTTATTGGCAACTAGTTGTGATTCTAAGATAGACGAGGCACGAGTCGATCGTAGAAAATAGTCTATGTGTGAAATAGTGATGTGGCGTGCATCCTTCATCTGCTACCACATCAGCGTAGGACCCCGCATATTGGTATAAATGTCCTATCCAAAATTGCCAAATTCTGGCCTTTCTGTCCTTACTGATTTGGCTCAGTTCCATCCACATTTTACTCGGACCTCTGTTTTTGCCCCGCCATCCATCCGCCAAAAGGATACTACCATAATTCACGAGCACCTTGTCCGCCTGGCAGGATACGACTTTGGATCATGAGGGATCTGTCTGCACGGCAGGATATGACCTCAGATTGCGAGGGATCCATCCGCACAAACAGAGAGAGGACAGTAAGTAGAATGCTATAGTATGGCTAGTGTAAAGGGAGGTATATGCTGTACAAACCTGCGACATTACTTACACAGCATTCATTGTTCTATCTCTTTATTTTCCTTATTTTCTACCTACACAGGATTTGTCAGTGTACATTCCTTCCTTCGTGTTCTTTCTCATTCTTTTTGCACAGCTATACTGTGCATAGCCTCCCTTTCTTTTACTATATAAACCCCTGTATTCTACCTTGTAAAAAGAAAAACAACAAGAATTCCAATCCAGACTTCTTCTCTAAATCTCAAGTTCACTACTCTGCTACTTGTGATCCAGTGTGGTCACAACACTTCCCACTGCTACCACTGTTAACTGCTGTCATTGTCACTCGTCACTTTTGAAAGTCATTGTCATCCCTTTCGATTAGAGTCCTTCTGAGCACTACAGTTTGTGCGTCAGGAGCCTGCTATCACTGGGAACCTCGTCACCTCATCATCCTCGTCATTCTCAAACCTACCTTGTGCTACAATTAGCAAGGTAGTGCTTGTCCATACTTATCACTAAGCCCCTATCTTCTATAATTCAACTATCCCTCCTCCTCAAAACCCACACCCATACATCTCTGGGTTTTACTTTGAAGGATCATTATACATACCACCACATGAACAACCAGAGCACCCACTGTTCTAGGAGGCAAAGCCCATAAACAAGTTCCGTGGAATCTGGGAGGATTGTGTGTTAGTTTGTTTTTGTGTGTGGTTTTCTAACAACAGTTCTCATCATTAACATCAGGCTTGGCTTAGTTGGTGGGGATAGCATGGGGGAGTTGGCTGGTTTCGAGTCAAAGGATAATCTCGGTGTGTGCCTCTGCCTGCCGCTTTAGGAAAGCCTTGACTGGCTTTGAGTTGACACTACCCATTGGCTTAGTCTGCAAGCTACTAATAGCCTCCCAATAACCCCTTCCTAGTCAGCATTGACCTCATATAGACAGCCCACTCAGCATAATTGCTCTCATTGAGCTTTGCAAAAGATGTGTCTGACGTCATTACTATATATGGTAAGACGGAAACAACGATTTGGATTCAGCCCCAAATGGCAAAACAATGGTGACAATTACAACATGAGAAGACAATTATATAAGGGAGCGGCAACAAGGTGGCAACAACGAGATAAGATCACAATGTAACGTGCTGATTTGTTTGTGTTGGATATTTGGTCCCTCAGGGTGTGGGAACAGGTGCGGGAGAAGGATTGCTTGGGGGCAAACAAATGCTATAACAACGTAAATACATGCTTCTTATATAAAAAACATATGTAAATATCATGTGAAAAACAATGGTAACCACAAAAGGCCGGTTATAATTACAGAGTAAATCTTCGGGCGAAGCTCTGAAGTTTGCTTACATAATATAATTTCTACAAGTGGGACTTATTGAGTGGGTAGAGTATTACAAAGAGTAAGTCCACCACCCAATTATATATGCATAGACTGATGGTACATAGGTACTACTCGCTAAAGTATAAAGACTCCTAGGAGAACAATGGCTGCTTTAGCAGAGACTGGGTTTATCTGATTTTGTCAACAAGAACATAGGAATACAGAAGTTGCTGTGTATGGCAGATTAGCCGCTGCCATTGCCATGGACATTCGTAACATCAAAGCTATTGTCAGACAAGTGAAGACAAAAGGAAGGTGGGGAATTATAGACCGAACAAGTGGTCTTGCTTCTGTCGCTTTCACACCAGTAATAAATCTAAGTGAAACTCAGCCGCTGCCTAAGAGGCTATAGAAATGACTTTATTATTTACCTAAGTGAAACTACAATGGATGTTAGTTTAAGGTGATCTCTAATAAATATAATGTAACATACCTCAGCCGCTGCCCAAGAGGCGATAGAAATGACTGAGGTATTTCTATACTAAACCCCCTACTACTTATAGTCAGAGGTGCTACTTGCTACAGTATAATGACTCCTAGGAGAACAATGGTGACTCCATGGAGTGGTGGCTATGCTCTATGGAGAACAATGGCTGCTTTAGCAGAGACCAGGTTTATCTGGTTTTGTCACTCCCAATCGAGTGCAACCGTAGTCCCATAGCTTTATAGAATTTCCAGTGTTTTTCGTGAGTGAGGGGTTTAGTGAGAATGTTGGCAACCATATCTCCTGTAGGAACATATCTGATTACTGCCTCTCCCTTTGATACTAAGTCATCTTGGATAAAATGATATTTCTGTTGAATGTATTTTGTGCGAGCATAGAACTGTGGATCTTGTGTAAGAATAATAGCTGCTTGATTGTCACAGTGCAATGTTGCAGGTCCATTTTGAGCATGTCCAATTTCTTCAAAAAATGTCCGGAGTCATGCAAGGTGTTGTCCAGCATTGCTCAATCCAATGTGCTCTGACTCTGTGGAGGATAAAGTTACCATGCTTTGTCTTTTGCTTGTCCAGGAGATTGCTCCTTGGATGGTGATAAAAACAAACCCTGATGTTGATCAAGACGTGTCTGGGTCTCCAGACCAATCTGCATCCAAATATCCATAGAAATTCATGTCCATGAAGACATCTGTGCCATCATATTGTAGTTCCATGTCCCTGGTTGCTTTCAGATATTGGAGGACACATTTTACAGCTTCCCAGTGATGGCTCCTTGGAGCTGAGCTATGTCTGCTTAGTATTCCAACAATGTAGGCAATGTCTGGGCGGGTTCCAAGCATGGCATACATGAGGGAGCCTACAATTGAGAGGTATGACACTTGACACCCTTCAATATGCATCTTGTGTTGCAAAATATCTTCCCCTAGAGTGTTTGCAAGGAGTTTTGATCCATGGGCCATTGGTGTGCATACTGGTTTGCAGTTCTTCATTCCAGTACGCTCCAGGACTGTGTCAATGTATTGGCGTTGTAATAGGGATATTGTTTTGTTTGAACAATCACGTTAAATTTCTATTCCGAGGATGTATTTTGCTTCTCCAAGGTCCCGCATTTTGAATATGGATTTGAGTTTGGCTTTTGTGATATCCATGAATTTTTGGGATGAAGCTCCTAGGAGGAGGTCATCTACATAGACAACAACAAAGCATATTTGTTTATTGTCCCAGAATATATAGAGACATGTTTCTGCATTTAGTCTTGTGAAACCGAGCTCCTGGAGCTTGCGATCAAAAGTTTTGTTCCATGTACAACCAGCTTGTTTTCATCCGTAGATAGATTTCTTCAACCTCCAGCAGTATCCACGTTGGATAGGAACACCCCCTGGAGGAAACATGTACAGTTCTTCTTCAAGTTCTCCATTGAGATAAGCTGTGGATACGTCTATTTGATCAAGTTCTAGGTCGTACTTTGCTGCCAGGGCTAGAGTAATTCAGATTGACTCTAAGTTTGCAACCGGAGCAAAAACTTCCTGGTAATCAATCCCCTCCCTTTGAGTAAAACCTTGTGCAACAATCCGGAGTTTGTATCTCTCAATGTTTCCGTTTTGATCAAACTTGATCCAGAACACAGGTTTTGATGTGATGGGTTTCACTCCCTTTGAAAGTGGAACAGTATCATATACTGCATTAGTATTGAGACTTAGGAGTTCCTCCTCCAAGGCAGACTTCCATAATTCTCTATCTGGACGTGATAAGGCTTCCTTTAGTGTCCTTGGAAGGTCTGTGTTAGATGGACCGGTACTTGCTATTCCAGCAAAGAATGTCTCCTCTGTATCAGATGTTTCTTCATGAACCTCAGGAGTGTTAGGTTTCTCCATGGAGTTGTCATGCTGCTCTTTTCAAGACTGTTGCTCATCTAGAGTCCTTTGATAATCTCGGTTTTTGTCTGCAGGATGAGTCTGGCGACTGCTTCTGTGTACTCCTAGGACTTCAGCAGGCATGACTGCTCTTTTAGGAACTTGTGCAGGTACTCCAGGGAGTAGACACATTTGTGTGTGTGTTGCCCCACTCACTCCTGAAGGTGTTGAATGTCTCCTTGGAGGTGTTGTATGCCTTCCAGAAGCTGATCCGATGGACAGGCTGTCTAGCTGCATTGGGACTTTTTCCACATCAGCTGGCTGTATGTTGAGGAGCTGTCCTCCCACTGACTGTGACTCTACTTTGGGTTTCTGTTGTGAAGATGGCCAGTGTTTGGGTCTTGGTTGTAGAGACTGTTGTGGAGGGTGTCTTAGCTGATCAGGTGCTCCCACTGCTCTCGGAACGTCTCCACGGAGGTATTGTCCCATTGCTCTTGGAACATCTTTATGCTGTTATGGTTCCATTGCTTGTG